TGAAATTGAAAAACCAAGGAACAACACTATCTAGAAACAGAGTGTTAAGTAGGAAGAGAGACGGCTTAAGATTTAAAAACGGGAAACAAAAATCAGAGGTGAAGCAAAGCAGAGCCGTTCTTTGGTGGAAGTCTCGTAATAGTTTCTGTTTTACTAGTCTTTGAAAGTGTATTATTTTGATAAAAGTAACAAACAAGAAAAACAAAAGCATCAGTTTCACCTGTCCAAGCTCTTCATTCAGATCTGAAGTATTGACTTGAGCTTTCTGATCTGATTCTTCATGATAGAGATCGAGATCCCAGCCAATGAAAAATGATCCAAGAAATTTCTGCATTTCGACTGTCACATATAGTGAAATTGGAATGATGAAATTATAGAGTACCAAAAAAGCAAGGAAGTCTGAAATAAATTTCAGAATCTAGGAAAAAAAAAAAAAGGATTGTTTGATAAGAGAAAATGCGTAAGAATTTCTTCAGCACTACTGCAAAAAATTATCAGAAAACTTCATGTCTAAGTGAACAGAACATCAACTATATTCTGAGGCAGAACAGTATTAGCTGAAATTCATTAATTGTTTTTTTAACACTACATTTTCTTTGCTTATTTTATCGCTTATTAGACTCTTGATCAAGGTAAAGGAAGAGAAGATTAAATTAAAATTAATTTGTTAAATAAGCTAATAAAAAGCCTGGTGTGATGGAAAATAACTTCAGCAAAATTATCCTTAAAACCTCTGTATAAAACCTCTGTACTATCTATTCTACTCCTACCCTTCAAAATAACAGATCATTAAAAACTGACTGTAACTTTAAAAAATTATAAAATAATTGCTAGGCTAGAACTGCTGGCAATTAAAACTTTTCAGTACGAATTATACAGGAACAGCCATCTTCAATGGCACAGCAGCCAGCACCACATTTCAACATGGACTCTGTGAAAAGTTAACCATATAATCGTGAATGATACTGAGAACGTGTCCCTGTGATTATCTACTTTTTGGTCTCCTTAGATCCAAATTCGTTTTCCAATATTTGTATTTTAATCTAAAGTGAAATTTGGAGAATAATTATTTACCAAAATTGAAGTTAAATTTTATTGGTAGTCCATATTTAATCAGTTAAAATTTTAATTTGGATATTGCCTCACACCATCAATAGACTGACCAACAAAACACCTTGAGTTATTCAAATATAACTGCAAATAAATCAGCTTACTCTTTAATTCATTTATGATAAGGTATCGTAAATGGAATAAAAAACTAAATTTGCAGTGTTGAAAATAGAATGCAAATATAGACTGATTTTAATTTTTGTGACCCCTTGTAACTATCCAAGTCGCACCATACGGGAACACAAATGCTGATGTTCGAACATGACAGTTGCAGCTCTTCATTTGCAAAGTCATTCTGTCCCCTTCCGTATCAGTGGTTTTCAGAGATGACAAGAGCCCCTCCTACCAGAAGTCACCACCGAAGCGTTAACTGTGCCGAAGAATAAAGCCTCCTTTACAGCAGAGCCAAGAACACCATAAAATACCTTACTACTATTTCTCTGATGTTCTGTTTTTTGGTTATACCAAGGTTCATCCCATTTTTCTTCGGCTTGCCATGTGTATTTCAAGATAGTACTGATGATGGCTTCAGAAATAAGGATTATTAGGTAAATTATCAAGAATGTATTCATCGACCTGAAGTGAGAAGAGAATATAAAAAAAAATTATGTGTTACTATATTCATTGGCTTAGAAGGTAATACATGACAGTAAATAGGATATTAAAATATGAAGTACTACTGTAGCTATTTTGAAGGACAGTCTTCGTTTTCCAGAAACGACCATTCAACAGAATCTATTCACTAGCAATAAAAGAACCAATACATACAGCTTACAAGCCTAACTATTTAACTATAGTTATGTTACTGTCCAAAATGCTTACAGTAAACGATAGTTTGGGCCAGTTATTTTTACCATAGTAATTATTCTAAGATTTTTACATTTTCAGGATCTATCCAATTAAAAATGTACAAAAATAACATTTATGTAGTGTTAAAATTTTATAAAGCTTCTGTCACTTTCATTACCTTAGCTAATCTTTACATAAAAACCCTGTGAGGAGGAGATTATAATACACTTTTTCCAGATGAAGAGCCCAAAGCCCCCAAATTATTCTGTAAATTTCCCAAGATCACACAAGTCAGGAATTGACTTTAGAATTCCTCTTCTCTTTACTAGGCACACTTAATATTACAAATCTTCAATTTTAAGTTTAAAAACTTAAATTTTTGATACAATTAAATTTTTATCATTGAAAACTCAAATACATACAAAATAAAGAGAATTGTGTAGTGATGCCCAACAGGTCACAGGCTTTGTAAAAACTCTTCAAGATGGCAAAATGCCTGAACTCAGATTTTTTCCCCCAGGCCCATAATTTATCCTTATCTTAACTACGCAACAACTTGATATTCCACTCTCCTCCAAGGTAAACTCTATACTGCAGTGGGAGTGAGTGGGGAGTGAGGGGCTCAAGAAAGGAATTCATGTTTTCTGTTTAGCTACTATGTGTTAGGCACAGTGTTGAACTCTTCACTTACAGTGTCTCATTTAATTCTCCCAACCAGCCTGTGAGACAGGCATTGCTTGCATATTTACAGATGAGAGAACACTTGGTTTACAGGAATTAAACAACTGGTCCAGGGCCACACAGCTAATAAGCAGGGAATGTGAAGTTCCAACCTTCATCTGCCTGACTCTAAATTCTGCTCTCCTGGCACGAAACGAGTCCTGTCTCCTTGTTATCCTGCCATGATGCCTGGTTTATTTTCACCTTCTGTCTTTGCTCGCGTGGTTCCCCTCATCAGACCCATTGTCCCTCTTGCTTATATTATTTATTTTTCAAAGTGTAACTCAAAAGCCATCTCCTTCCTGAAGGCTGTCTTAATCACGTTAGTTTGTATTCAACGTTCTCTTAATGAAATTTAAAACTAGTACTACATTGCGTGTTAGCTATAACTTCCAACTTGATAGAAAACTCAGAGAGGAATTGTATCTCAGAAAACCCAGCACAATAATAGATCCATAAGAAACAATCAATAAATACTTTTAGATTGAGTTTTCTCAAATAGAATTCATTCAATAGCTTCAAAGTCTCTTAATGGTTCATGAATAACACCACCAGAGTTGAGACAGTAAGACCCTGGCAAATTTTCTGTATTTATGTGTTATGTATTAACTCTCACTGATGCCCCATCGCCAATCTCAACTTAATATTACAAGTCTTCAACTTTAAGTTTAAAAATATAATTTTTGATACAGTTAGAGGAACTTTTTACCATGAAAAATTCCAATCTATATAAACACCTAGCTTCAACAACTATCAACATTCTAACATTCTTATTTCATTTACTTTTTTCCCCCCAATATCAACCACCCATTTAATCATTATTTTTCATAGTTCTTCTATTTTGTCAAAACTAGTGCTGACTTTCTAACTGGATTCTTGCTACCGCTGAGGTTTGAGGGTTCTTTATATTTTTAGATATAAGACCTTTGTTGGATTTGTGATTTGCAAATATTTCCTCTCAGTTTGTGGCCTGATCATGATTGGATTTGTTTGATAGTATCTCATATGGTCTATCTTAATGGGCTTTCCATGTGCGCTTAAAAAGAATATGTATTCTGCCAATGTTAAGTGTAGTGTTCTATAAATGTCAGTTAAGCCACAGTGGTGGACAGTGCTGTTTAGATCTTCTATACCATTGTTACTGATTTTTTAAATATTTCTATCAATTACCGAAAAAAGGGCACAAAATTTCTAACTATGTTTATGGATTTGTCTATTTCTTTTAATTCTGTCAGATTTTGCTTCATATATTTTGAAGTTCTGTATTAGGTTGGGAGAAAGATGTGGCAGTCTGCTTCCATAAAGATTTACAGCCTTGGAAGCCCTACGTAAGGGTCACTATGCGTTGGAATCAACTCGATTGCATGAGATTTTGTGTATCAGGTATACTCATTTATAACTGTCATGTCTTCCTGACATACTGACCCTTTTATTATGAAATGTCCCTTTACCTCTAGTCTTGAATTCTATTTTATGATATGAATACAGCCACTCTAGCTTTCACATGCTTACTACTACTAGCATGGTGTATCTTTTGATCTCAACCTATCTGCAGCTGTATTTAAAGTGCATGTCTTCTAGACAGCACACGGTTAGCTGGGTCTTGCTCTTTTATCCAGTCTGACAATCTGGCTTTTATTTAGAGCATTCAGTGCATTTACATTTAACGTAATTCTTGGTCAGATTTAGGGCTACCAGTTTGCTATTTGTTTTCTATTTGTCTCATTTGTTTTTTCTGTTCTTCTTTTCCTGCCTTCTTTTGTATTTATCAGATATTTTTAGCATTCAATTTTAATTGCTCTATTAACTTTTTTGATACATCTTTGCCTTTTTTTAATGGAAGCTTTTGGGATTATAATACATGTCTTCACTTTATCGCAATCTACTTAGAGGTGATATTTTATCACGCCATGTAAAACTAGGACCTTTGCAACAATATAGCTTCTTTACTTCCACCTGCCTTTTGTGCTGCAGACTTACATATGTGACATCTGTGTGCCTTAAAGTCCACGATACACTGTTACACATTTTACTTTGGACCAAGACAAACAGAAAAACCAAACCCGATGCCGAGGCAATTCTGACTCACAGCGACCCTACAGGACAGAGGAGAACTGCCCCACAGGGCTTCCGAGGAGCGGCTGGTGGACACAAACTGCTGACCTCTGGTTAGCACCGAGCTCTTAACCACTGCGCCATCAGGGCTCTGAACTGGGCTTTGAACCATCATATATATTTTAAAGAAATTAAGGAGAAAAAAAGAATACATACATAGTCTTTAGATCTATGCCCATATTTACCATTTCTGACCCTCTTTATTACCTCTGTAGAGCCCTAGTGGCGCAGTGGTTAAGAGCTCGGCTGCTAACCAAAAGGTCGGCAGCTAGAATCCACCAGCCGCCCCTTGGAAGCCCTGTGGGGCAGTTCTGCTCTGTCCCGCGGGGTCGCTGTGAGTTGTAGATGGCGACAGATTTGTTTTTTTTGTTTTTCTTTTGGTTTATTCGCTAAAGACCTTCTTTAGCATTTCTTATCTTATCATGCAGATAGTCTGGAAGTGAATTTTGTTTTTGTTTTTCTGATAATGTCTTTATTTCACCTGTTTCGATGAATAGTTTTGCTGAATATAGTATTCTGAGTTGACATTTTTTTTCTTTTAGTACTTTTCAGAAGTTGTTTCATTGTATTCTGGCCTCTGCTATTTCTGATGAGAAGTCAGACATTCACATATACGTAGTCCCCAACTTACAACGGGGTTCCATTCTGATGACTCCGTTGTAAGTTGGTTCTGATGTAAGTGAAATATCCTTTTTTTTTTTTTAAGTTTTCACAGACTGCTGTACGGCAGTATTTTGAACCGTAAATCATAACATTGAACACCTGTGAGTGAACATCTGAGAATGGTAACATCAGCAGACTACGTGCTGCAATGTATGTAGGACATATTACTCACAATAAGATGGTCGTAAGCGCAGCTTGTCATGATTCAAATACGTCGTAAGTCGGGGACAATCTGTAGTTTTCTGTTTGTATGGGATGTGTTTTTTCCTTTGGATGTTAGCGATCTGACCACGCTGTGCTTAGATGTGCTTTTCTTTGTGTTCCTCCTGCTCGAGATTTGCCGATCTTGGTGCTGTAGTCCAAAGTGGTTCCTCAAACAATTTAAGCCATTCTTTTTTCAAATTTTTTCCACCTGTGTTAGCTACCTAGCGCTGCCAAAACAAAATAAAAACCAGGTGGCTTTAAAGAACAGAAATTTATTTTCTTACAGTTCTGCAGGCTTAAGTCCAAATCAGGGTCTCTCGGCCGTGTCAGTTCCTTCCGTGGGCCTCTCTGCTGCTTGCTTGTGTCCGCCGGAGATCCTCAGCGCTTTTTCGCTTGTAGATGGGTCCTCACGTGGTCTGTCTCCCCATGTGTGTCTCTGTGTCTCCTCTGCTCTTTTTATAAGACATCATTTCCAAGTGACCAGGTTTGGGACCCACCCTATACTAGTGTGACCTCATAAATGTAACAAAAGAAAACCCCTCCTTCCAAACAGGGTCATATTTATAGGTATAGGGGTTAGGACTCCAACACATACACTTGGGGGCCACAATTCAATACATAACAGCCTCTTTGTCTCTCCTTTTCTGAGGACTTCAATTATACTTATGTTAGTTCCCAAATGGCTCTGAGGCTCTGTCCATGTTTCTTCAGTCTTTCTTCTCTCTGTTCCTCAGACTGAATAATTCCTATTGACCTTTCTTCATGCTCACTGACAATTTCTTCTGCTTTTCTCAATCTGATGTTTAGCCCATCTAGATTTTTCAACTTGCCATCCTCGCTTCTAAGCAGCATCTGGCTGTATTTCTTCCAGGACAGATGTGTTTGTTCTTCTAGCAGTCCTGTGGTACACTGAATATCTTTGCAACACCACAATTCAAAGGTGTCAATTCTTCGATCTTCCTTACTCACTGTTCAGCTTTCGCATGCATATGAGGCAACTGAAAACACCATCACTTGGGTCAGGTGCACCTTAGTCCTTAACATGATATCTTTGCTTTATAATACTTTAAAGAGATCTTTTGCAGCAGATTTGTCCAATGCAATGTGTCGTTTGACTTCTTGACCGCTGCGTCCATGGGCATTGACTGTGGATCCAAGTAAAATGAAATCCTTCACAACTTCATTATTTCCTCCACTTATTATGATGTTGCTACTGGTCCAGTTGTGAGGACTTTTGTTTTCTTTATGTTGAGGTGTAATCCATACCGAAGGCTGTGGTCTTTGATCTTCATCAGTAAGTGCTTCAAGTCCTCTTCGCTTTCAGTAAGCAAGGTTGTGTCATCTGCATATCGCAGGTTGTTAATGAGTTGTCTTCCAATTCTGATGCCACGTTTGTCTTCATATAGTCCATCTTCTCGGATTATTTGCTCAGCAAACAGATTAAACAAGTATGGTATGCTAACTGCAAGATCTAAAACTTTCAGAGACACTTTCTACTGAGTGCTTTTTCTCTTGGGTATGGGTAACCCTTTTCTTCACGTCTGCGTACTTTTGATTGCAGGTTATTATAAATGATACACTGTAGAGATGCTGTATTCTTTGTGTTCCTCAGAAGAATGCTGATATTTATCCCAGTAGGCAGTTAACTAGGCTGGGTCAAATGCCAAACTCTGTCTCCAATGCAATGGGCAACAGCAAAAAATCTCTGTTCAGTTCTTTCAGCTCCTGCTGCTGCTTTTCTGCCAAGCCTATTGGAGTCTCCCGCTGCACTTGAATAGTTTAGCAGTCAGCCAAGGATTTGAGCAGAATTTATGTGTACGTTTTGGGGTTCATAGGAATGTGTAGGTTTGGGGGTTCATTCCCTTTTCAGGCTCCTACCTTTGCATTAGTTTCCCCTTCCCAGCTGTTCTCCCACCTCTGAACTCTGCCCTCTGACATCTCAATCCAGTAAAACTGAGGCTTCTGATGCTCTGAGCAGTGCACAAATTGAAGAGTGCCTTTAGGCAAAAAGCTGCAAACTCTAAGATCTTTCCCCTTGCTGTTACCATCTTTTAAGAGTAGACTCCTTGCCAGTTTCTGTCTGCTTTTAGTCACTTCCCTGTGCTTCCAAACAGTTGTTGCTTTAAAAAATATTTTGGCACAGATTTTATAACTGTTATCTACAGGAGGGATAGTCTAATCAAAAGATTCTACCATTACTCAATAGCATTTAGTTTTTATTTTTAGTAGACTTTACATTTTTAGAACAGTTTTAGGTTTGCAGAAAAATTATGCAGGAAGTACAGTTTCCATATACCCTTTCCCCTCACACACTGTTTTTCCTACTAACATCTTGCATTCTTGTGGTACATTTGTTATCATTTATGAACCAATATTGATACATTCTTATTAACTAAAAGCCATAGTTTACATTAGGGTTTACAATTCTACAGCTTTTGACAAATGCATAATGTCACATCCGCCATTACAGTTTTACACAAAATAGTTTCACTGCCCCCAAAATGCCCAGTGCGCCACCTGTTTATCCCTCCTCCCTCGCCCCAGGCCCCTGACAATGACTGAACTTTTCACTGTCTCTACAGTTCTGCCTTTTCTGGAATACCACGTAGCTGGAACCATACACTATGTACTGAAGGTTGCTCCACGTTTTTTCATGTCTCGGTAGCTCATTTCTTTTCAGTGCCAAATAGTACTCCATCGTACGGATATGTCACAGTTTGTTTATCCATTCTCCTACTGACTTTGGTTACTTCAAATTTTTGGCAATTATGAATAAAGCTGCTCTCAACATTTGTGTGCAGGTTTTTATGTGCTTATTAAAGTCCTAATTTAGCACCTACTATATGGCAAACGCTATGTAAAATGGGAGATGTACACAAAAATACAGGAGTTCCTGGGTGGCATAAATGGTTAAAGTACCACCCAACTGAAAGGTTGGTGGCTCAAATCCACCCAGAGACGTCTTGAAAGCAAGCCCTGCCGATCTGCTTCCGAAAGATCACAGACATTGAAAACCCTGTGGAGCCAGTTCGACCCTGGCACACATGGGGTCGCTGTGAGTCAGAACTGACTCGACAGTACCTGGTTTTTATACAAAAATAAAAGAATCTATCCCTATCCTCAAGGATATCATCTTTTGTTTACTCGAGACACACACCCCCACACCCCATTTTATACATATATGAATACACATATCCATAATTACATGTATATGTAAACAAAGTGAGAGTTCCCTTACTTTTCTACTGCGGACCGTTTCTGTGACTTGCTCTTGTAATTTAATGCCATTTTAGTTTCCATCCCAGTGTATACAGCAACACCTGCGAACAAAACACTCTTTTAAAATAACCCCCTAGAATGTTGCACAAGAAAGAAATACACTCACTAACACGGAAGCTTCTAAGAAAATGTACTGTCTGAAAGCTGTTACAATTTGGCTGTCCTTTAATTCTTTGAGTTTTTAAACGGCTTCTCAAGTCCAATTTTGGGGAAACCCAGTCACTCAAGTGCTGTATTGGGGAGTTCACGGGGGTTCTGTACTTGAGTTACATCTGAATTAAGGAGATATTATCTGAGTTGGAACTGATGGAGGAAAAGGATTTGGAAAGATGAAGATAGCGAGGAACGCCATTATAGATGGAGCAAACAGTTTTAACAAACACAGAAGTGGAAAAGCACTTCCGTGAGGTTGGAACAGTGTGGCGGGGTCAGTGTGTGAGGGGCCCTGAATGCCCAAACCTGGAGAACAGACTTCACTCTGCAAGCACTGGACAGAGAACATGGGAGTCCGGCAGAGTAAATGCAGTGAAACCAAGAACAGTGCTGTTTTAAAAATCTGTGCCGATGTGAATGACTCTGAGATGAACGATAATGGCAGCAATAAACAGACTAAAACGGGAGAGTAAATGAAGTTAGGAGAAACCAGTCTTATAGGAAAACTATGGAGTTAGACTTTGGTTTGAATGCTTTATATGTATATATATAAAACTTTTGGACATATACCTAGAAATGGACTTGCAGGGTCATTTGGTAATTCTGCTTAACTTACCGAGGAAGCAACAAACTGTTTTCCACAATGGCTGTACCATTTCACACTCCCACCAGCAATGGACAACAATCCCAATTTCTCTACATACTCACCAAACACTTACTTTCCTTTTTATTTATTTTTTTTGATACATGGATTTCTTTATTGGAGAGTCTATCACACAGGTATGAGATGACTTACAGGTAATAGGAAAAAACAGAATGAGGAACAAGACCTCAAGCTGTAGATGGCCAGTGAGTAACATAAGCCAGGCAGGCTATGAAGGGCCATTTCTGAAATGGGAGGAGCTAACTGAGAGATTAAGGTCATCATCAACTTTACACTTTGCCTAGAGTTGACCCAGTGCGTACTAAATTAATTTAGATCTCCAAGGCAATAGCACTATTTACTCATCCTTCTGATCCAGTCAGTGTCTCCCAACAGTATCTGGTATACAGAGCTTGATAAGAATTTGTTGGCTAAGTGGATGGATGAATGAATGAGTCAGCAGTCTCATCAATCCAATCTAAAAGTGATCGTAGTGGAATTATAGATGTGGCCTTCTGCACCCTGATACCAGGTTAAACTGGTTCCTAGGCACCACGACTATAACCCGTTGCCTTCGAGTCAATTCCGAAAGAGTAGAACTGCCCCATAGAGTTTCCAAGGAGCGGTTAGTGGGTTTGAACTGCCGACCTTTTGGTTGGCACCTGAGCCCTTAACCAGCGTGCCACGAGGACTCCACCATTACTGTAAGTGATGGAATTATCTTCTTAGAACTAAGTTTCACAAATGTCCACAAAGGTAATAAAAGAGTAAGGTGATAGTCTATTAACTCAAAAATACAAGTCAACAAAAAATACAACACAAAACTACATTAACACTTAATCTTTATAAGAAAATTATTATCACAGGCAATATTTGATTACATGATAAATTATTCAATCAGAAGGCCACAAATGCTGTGCATTTTAAATACCTCATATAAAGCATCAATATGAATCTTACAATTAGAAAATTTTAAATATGTACAAACCAAAAATTTCTTTTGTGTTTTTTAATCTGGCTCCACGAAGCAAGAGACTCTCTGGCCCCAGGGGTCTAGAAACAAAACGAAAAAGCACTGAATACATCAAAAATTCAATCCAGTTCTAAAGTAGGCTCCTCGCAGAGGGGTGCTGCTTTCATACAAACCCAAACAGCAGCTACATGCAGCTGCCTGGGCCAGTCACGAAGTTAGTTCTGTAACAGCAAATACCTGCGTTAGCATCTCAGTCACTTTAAGATTCGTGGCTCAGAAACAAGGTTACGTCTGTAAACAAACTCACAGAGCCACTAGTTTCAAAGTTTCTAAATGTGAGATACAAGAAAATCAAAGATTGAGCAATGACTTCAAGTTTTTTAGCAGAAGATGAAATTTAAATTTAAATTTTGAGCAAAATTAATAAACAGCACTGGATGGAAAAAATACAGAATGACGATGCAGTGTGAACATAAAACGTCGTATGATCTGTGCATGAATGCGGGAGTTCTGTACAAGGAAAATCACGCTGCATTACAAAACCTAATGTAGAGAGTGAGTGAGTGCTTCGTCTAGGCAAGCTTGCACGGCACAACTTGACTACTTGCACTGCATACTTCCTGGAGTCTCTCGGTCTTCTTGCTGTTTGAATTTCTCTCCATAAAGGAGATAGCAAACGAGAAGGAATAACTAGAAAGGAAATTGTATCTTCTTAGTTATAAAAAAAAAATATGAGTTTGTCATGGATAAGCAAAAAAGTCTCTTATTTGGTTGAAATTCTTTATGATTTTCTGAAACATGCATACACAGTTATTCAAATCAAACAGAATCTGAGCCAAAGATGATGATGTCCAAAAACCCAAACACTATAAAAAATGCAATGAACCAAGCATGGCCAGGTGTTCGGGATGTGGTTAACAAGTGTGGTTATACTAGGCAGTTATATTTAGATCACACTCTACGGATATTCCAAAATCAATGTCGCAACTATTCAGGAGCCATACAATAGTTGTTTCCCTTGGTGGTGTTCCAACAATGAACAGAAATGCTTTAAGATCACACTGGCGTATGAAATCGAGATAGAAAGCTTCAGATTAAAAGATAATTCATCCATTTACTCTGGTTGCTTCAGCAAAGAACATAGCTCAAGTTTTTAACCATTCTAAGAGCTGAGTTACAGTACCTTAATGTAACTGAGACTATGTATCCATATGTTTTCTGCTACTTTACTACAGAAATCAAAACAAAACCTAGTCACAGTTATTCGGCAGGGTCCTACAGACAGAGACTTCGTTACAGAGTTTACTGAGTGCATTCCTATATGCTGGTATACGACATTCCTGGTGGCTTGTCTTGAGGATTTCATTAAAAAAAAATAATCAACTCTTTATGTCAATGGTTTTATTGCATGCAGCCAGTATAAACTGAACATGTCCCCAGAAAAGACGGGGAAAGCCAATTTGACTAAAATTCAAGGGCTGATACCAAGACTGATTCTAAGGCCTTGAGGTCATGAGTAACAATGCAATCTCATACTACCAGCAAATCTTTGAAACGATGCAAGTCTTTCACTTAGGAGCCACGAACTGATTCTGAATATTGAGGGAAAATAAAACAAAAAAACACCGGAAGAGTACGAGGCTCCCGGTTAGCCGCTAAAAACTCTAATTTATGCCGAATGATTCTGAAGTGAAGATCGTATCATTTATATCTGTCACATACTGTACAAAACATTTTCTACATTCTAGCGTTTTAGGGTTGTGGGTTTAAATACATAAGGGTCGGAATAAAAATTATGTTTCATTCTAATGTTACTACCTACCATTATTAGAAAAATAAATACAACTTCAACAAGTAATCCACTAAGTCATTCTGACATCATTTTCATGGGATTTGTTTCACTGTCACTTGCTGTCGCTACAGATGAAATGCTGAATTAAAAAAAATCAACCTTTTCCATGATATGCTATTACCTAATTTCCCTTATAACATGATTTTATTCCCTCCCCCAGTTTTCATTTAAAAGGAAAAGATTCATGCCAATTTGTCCTTACCTTACAATTTCTTCCATTTGCTGAGTGATTATCATCCGTCCCATGAATCTATCAAGGAATTCACCATATTACAAAAATATAGAATATCACTTACGACATCAATGAATGAAAAATTTTAGACACAGTGTTGGTACTATTCTTGTACATGAAAAAAACTCCAACTTTTATATATATTAGTGGTCCAACAGTTACATAAGACATGATAAAAATAAATACTTATCAGTCTCCAAGCTTTTAAAAACTTTGATATTCTTTCCATCTCTATTCCAGCTAGGAATGAGGCAAGGAATGAAAAATGTTTTTAAAAGGGTGACGCAAATGTTACGTATTACTATTATTTTTAATGTGGTCATCATGACAATTTGTAATTCCTACACAAATTATTTTTAGCATTATTTAGCCAACAGTAAATGGTTATATATTTCATCAGTTTACTAAATAAAGTCAGCTGTGACCTGCAGGTCAGTGGAACCAGATCATTCAATTTACCACTCATTTACTTATTCATTCAACAAATATTCACTGAACACCTACTACATGTGAGTTAAGTAGCAAGTACAAAGAGCAGTAAGAAGAAAACCTATCAGTGAATTGCAAAGCTTCTTTAACCCGACAGTCATACGTAAACTTTCGGTAGCCTGAAATTTAGAGTGAGTGGCCTGTGATGATAATGGATTTTCATAGCCTGGTCTTCCAGTTCCAACCTTCATCACCACAACAGCCCCACAGGAATTCAAGTATACAAATTATAGACAGAGCCTCATGTAAATCAGTTAACTGGGCAAAGAAATATTAAGCATTCCCTTCCAAATGTCCCCTACCAGCCTCCTGTTTTCAGGCCATAGAGCCTTCATCCTTGGAGGCATTTAGCTTCATTACAGCTATAAAATATCATCATTAAGAATACTGGTACAGTAAATATAAAATATTTTTTAATCACAAAGTAATCTATATTCTTGGAAGACATTTTAGAAAACACAAGAAGAAAGAAGATAAAAATTAAAAAGCTGCTGAAATCCTATCACCAAGAAATAACTGCCAACATCTTGACGTATGTTCTTCCAGGGTTTTCTCTCTTTATTACAGCTATCTATCTATATGGTGAAGAATGTTGAATACACCGTGGACTGCCAAAAGAAGGAACAGATCTGTCTTGGAAGCATTACGACCAGAATGCTCCTCAGAAGCAAGGATGGCGAGACGGACTGACACAGTGGCTGCCACAATGGGCTCAAGCGTAACAGTGATTGTGATGATGGCACAGGACTGGGTCGTGTTTTGTTCTGATGTACCTGGGGTTGCTATTATGAGTCGGAACCGACTCAACGGCACCTAACAATAATATATCGCTATCTATTTATTCTTCTCTCTTGCTACCTAACTGCCTAATACATAGGCACACATGTTATTTTTACGTAACTGGGATCATATCAGAGCTACAAGTTTGTATCTTATTTATTTAACATTATATTTCAAGCATGTTCATATCTCACTGAATTCTCTGAAAACATTATTTATAATATCCACATTTCACCTTACATTCCGACCATATATCTATCTAAACGTTCTCCTACTTGGGCATTTAAAACGTTTTCAATATTTCACTTACATATAACATACAGTAAAGTGTAAAAATATAATTTTATATATGTTATCTCTACAGCTATGAATTTCTCAAAGACAGAAACTATACTTACTCATCTTAGTTATCTCACATCATAATGAGCACACAGGTGTTCAACAAATATTTGCTGAATGAATGAATAACAGCAATCAATAAATTTTAAGTAGCGGTATATAATTATGTGCTATTTTTCTATTATGAAAGCTTTCTGTAATAGTTATATTACATTTATGTTTAAAATAAAACATATGCTTTAAGAAAGGGAGAGGAAAAGAGAAAATAAGGGTAATACCTTATATGTCTAAGGGTAAACTATTGCCTATTAAAAACTTTTTTTTTACTTTCTCCTCATTTTCCAAGATAATTTAAAAACTATCTACCAAAGAATTAGTCAAATTTAATTTCACATTAATCTGATGCATAATGGCACATCATTTTCTAGTTTTTAATAATTTTTTTTAAATTCTCCATTGTTGGAGACCAGGAAATGGTGGCAACACAGAAATCTTAAAGTATTTAATTCTTCACAGTTAAATGTATCCTCTAGTTAAATGTCCTTAAAGTGTATGCCTCCAGATTTTTTACAGTTAATTGGAAAACCCTACGCTGCATTTGACTGCAATGCAAATATAACATTACATAGAGAAAACTCAAAACATGTAAGATATTTGAAAAAAAACTAATGATAGGATTTTGAAACTTTCAACCAACCAGTTGCTGCTGAGTGGATTCCGACTCATGGTGACCCCATGTGTGTCAGAATAGAACTGTGCTCCATATAGGGGTTTCAATGGCTGATTTTTGGGAAGTAGATCACCAGGCCTTCCTTCTGAGGCACCTCTGGGTGGACTCAAATCTCCAACCTTTCAGTTAGCAGCCAAGCATGTTAAATGTTTGCACCACCCAGAGCCTCCTTTCGATGAACAGACAAAGATATATAACGTGTCAAGAAGCTGAGGGTGATTTTGACAATGCAGTTGTAATTACTATTCTATCACCAGTTATTGAGTAAAAATAAGTCTTTAATAACAAGCTGTTTCCATTTTGTAGACCACAATAACTGGCAGAATCACTGAAAGGTGATTTATATTCTATTTAGTAAACTGTCAAGTGAAAAGGAGCTAGTTCCTCCAGTTCTTTCTCTTCTTTTGAAAATAAAATCTTAAAAAAATCTAACACACTAAAAAAAAAAAAAAGCTATCTAAATTATAAAGGACCTAATTTAAAAGTAGTATATGCTACTGGAGGCACAGTGATTAAGAGCTACGGCTGCTCACCAAAAGGTCAGCAGCTGGAATCCACCAGCCACTCCTTGGAAACCCTATGGGGCAGCAGTTCTACTCTGTCCTCTAGGGTCGCTCTGTGCTGAAATCGACTCGATGGCAATGGGTTTTTGGTTTTATGTGCTAATGCAGGACAGTAGTGAACACAAAGACAAAGCCCCTGCCTTCAAGGAGCTTCTCCCTCAAAAAAAAAATCAGATAATTTTTTCCTAAAGAAATAATCCGACTGGTACTATAACTACTGTTATAGCTATAAATTGAGCAGGCCAGTTCGTAACAAAGCAGAAGGTAATGGAAAAGTACTAATGAACAGAAACATTGTTTTTTGCTTTTATATTAATATCTTTTGCCTAGAATTCTGCCTTTCGTTTTTGTTTTTTTCTTCTTTTGTTAATTGCAAACCTCTCCTCCTCTGTAATGTTTTTAATTAGCTACAGATTTCAATACAGGTTTATGGTTTTTTAAATGAGGTCTGAAAATAGGACTTAAACTGAGTATGAAGTGAGTATACTGAATATCAGAGCCCTGGTGGTGCAGTTGTTAAGAGCTCGGGTGCTAACCATGAGGTCAGCAGCTGGAATCCACCAGCCGCTCCCTGGAAACCCTACGGGACAGTTCTACTCTGTCCTAGAGGGCCGCTAGAGTTGGAATTCACTTGATAGCAGCGGGTCTGGTTTTGTGATTTATGGTGAAGATCACACCATACCTGTACAAGTCTGCTTCTGGCTGCTGACATTCTATCACAGCTATGAGAGTATCCAAATTGGCAACTGTTTGTAATACTGCTGTTTCTGGAACTGCCACATGTGTCTGAGGGGAAAAGAAACAAGAGATTAAACTGTACAATTTCAACATTTAAAAGGGACCTTACATATAATCTATTTCAGATGTAAGTTTTTTTTACAGACGAAATCACAGCACACTGTATTTGAGAACACTCTGCTAGACAGCAGAACAGAGGAGAGAAAGAAGGATGTCAAATAAACAAGCAAAGGAAGCTTCCTGATTACCAGTCTACAGAGGTCATTTGCATATAAGGAAATTAGATTTGTCTGCACAGTAACTTCTACTCAAAGTTTATCATAAGCATTTTATTATGTTTAATAGGAAAATATGTGAATTTTCATCAATGACTGTACTCTGAAAATGGAAAAATTTAAATTTACCCCTTATCTAAAAAGCACCAAAAATATTAAAAAGATTTTATTTTTCCTAAAAATACCTCCCATTTTTCTTTAACTTGAATCAACTAAGCCACGTGAGGCTACCTTGGAAATAAATATAAATAACGTTCTTTTTAAAGAGATAATTAAAAAAATTTCTCCTTTATCAGACCCAACTTTATTACCTTAACCAAAGGGAAATATGGCTCTAACGCAAAGAAGCTGTGTTTACCAGGAGTGACACTCAAACATGTACATGAACAAACCTTCAGGTTGGTTTCTCCATCCAGACTAGCAGTGGTGACATGACATGTACCATCAGGTCGATCTGAAGACAGAAGCACCAAATCTGCAGGGAAAATTTCATCTTTGGCTATTCGAACAATATCACCCACCTATGAAGAATTGTGGAAAAAGTGAATATACAAATTTTAAAAGTCAAGGCTTTATTTTAACTGGGTTCTAAACAAGTGGCCTGGCACAACATTTTAATGTAGGAAAGCAGGCTCTTAACTAAAATATAATCAGATTAGAACAACGTGCGATGATGCCAAAATACAGTGGATTTCTATTATTTACCAGATGCATACCCGAATGTTTTTTGATCTAGTTTTTACAAGGCCACCACTTCGAACAACATAAACAGGAGCTCCGTTCACTTCATTATCCGAGTTATGTCGCAACCAATCTTCGTACCCCTGTAAATGTCCGCAGAATAAAAATTTTTTCAGTATAATCGGAAGATGCTTTTATGAAGTGAGAAACAAACAAAAACTCGCGTTTCATTGAGTAGAATTACATGAGACTATCCTGATCGTATACTCCTAGGTCTGTGACATTCGTCCCCACTGGAAACACTTTCCTCTCCCGGCTCTCACCATACCTCCCCCCTTCCAGTTTCCACTGAGCTGATCCTGATCACAGCAACCCTATGCGCGTAAGAGGAGAACTGCACTCCGGAGGGTTTTCAGTAGCTGATTTTTGGGAAGCAGATCACCAGGCCTCCCTTCTGAGGCACCTCTGGGTGGACTTGAACCGCCACTCTTTCGGTTAGCAGCCGAGCATGTTAACCGTTTGCACCACCTGGGTGGCCCTCTCTAGCTACTCCTCCATTTCTGTATCGGAAGCTCCTCCTATGTCACCCCCTTAGGGGCCCTTTACTCACCCTTCACTCTCTCTCTAGGAGACTTTTTCTGTCCCCATGTCTTCAAATACCACAAATATGCTGCTAATTCTGAAGTTTGTATCTCCAGCCCATCTCTCTCTTTTGGACTCCAGACTTGAATATCCAACATAATTCTTAGTATCTCCATTCTGATGTCTTCTAAATATCTTAAACAGACCCCAAGCTGAACTGATGATGTTATCCCCCAAACTGTTTTATTTCCAGTGTTTCCCATCTTGGCAAATGACATCACCAAGCTGCTCACGCCAGACCCTCTGGGAAGCCATTCTTGACTCCTACCTCTTCTAACACCTACTCCATCACCAAGCTCTACTGCTTCTACGTACAAACGATATCTTCATCATAGAATGTAAATTCACAGAGCATTAATCCATCACAGAACATAAACTCACAGAGCATTACTTCAGGTGATAAATAGGAAAAAAAAAAAAAAAAGGAACAGATTTAGAAACTGAGGTTGAACTCTTCCACTTCTTTAAACAGACCAACAGAGTTAATTTTACTGTTAAAAAAAAAAAAAATACGGGAGGCTATACGGATCATCATTAAAAAGGAAAAATATTAAGCATTTCATGTTAAATGTTAAGGAGGGAAATGATTTTTTTAAGTGGAAAAGACTTCATGTGTTATTTTAAAGAAAATTCAAGGCCTTGGAGATGCAGCACAAGTACAGGCAATGAAATGATATCCAAGAGATGATATTAAGTGATAAAGGTATGGCAGAGAACAGGTTGTGTTCTATGCTATTCTGTACATTTGCTTATGTGAACACTGTATAGATATTTGGACTAATGTACAAATAGCTCCCTCAGGGGAGGCAAATAGGAGGCCAGGGGTTAGGAGTATAAGACAGACTTTCACTGTATGCTCTTTCGTACTGTTTCGATTTTTAAAAAAATATATGCATCTATTCTTTAAAAATATTAAAACACGAAAAAACATAAAGCAAATACTAAACATTTTTCGAAGGCCTGTTTTTTTCAAGGGAAAACTCTTTGGAAATCATCTTAAGACACTTACATTGGCTTTGTTTAAGCTGTGGTATGTCAATGATAGAGAAATTTGAGAGTCAAAACACTTTTTCTGAAACTGTCAAAAAGCACACTTCCTTTAAATAGCCAGATGACATTAGTGGCAGAGCAACAATAAAAATATTATTGTTTTTTATGCAGCTTCACAAATTCCTTCTGATTCATCCTACATATTACTGCCAGATTAATCTTCCCGAAACATTGTTTTAATTCACTACCCTGCTCAAAACCCAAAGCTTACTGAGCAAAGACTGCTCCAGCCTCTTCAATTTACTACCAGTTTACATTTCCAGTATTACCTCTGACTACTTTCTTGTACATTACTCCAACATTAGTTAGACCTGTCATTCCCCAAAACACGTCCTGCTGTTTCTTGCATTTGGAACTTTGCCCCGTATTGTTTCCACCTCCCTTTCTTCATCTATTACCATTTCAGCCATATTCAAGACACAGCTCGAATAATATTTCTTCCATGAAGCCTTTCTGGATCATTTCATCCCTTCTCGGAACATCTACAGCTCGCTGGATCTTACTACTACTTTATTAAACTCTAATGTTTTAAAATTTGGTCTAAGCCTCCCTCCTCATAGGTTTTACGCTCGTAGATGGCAAAGACTATCTTATTTAGCAAGGCATTACATCTTGCACTGTACAACTAGAGAGAAGACCTAACATGCAAAATATAGCTGGGAAGAGAGAAAAACAAAACCTTGACACCCTCACTCATTAAAGTGTAGATAACTGCTAACGGAGCCGTTACTATCTAGATAAAAGTGCAGGGCAAAGGCAAACGAAAAGGGGAGAAAGCAAGCTTGGAACATGTCAATCTTCCTAAAGTTTGTTCTATTCATAGCAATGGATACATAAAATAGGAGCAAAGTATGGAAGTTCTCTGTTTATTAAATGAATAAAACTTCGGAATGGCTGATTCAAAAGAGAAAACTCAGAGTTCTGAAATTGTGTTTCTGAGAAAGGGAGAAAATCCTTGTCGATCGCTTTCCTCTTTGAAAACTACAAGACCATTCATATTTCCTTTTTTGCCTCAGTTGCCAAGAAGCTCACAATGAAGCTTAGTACTCAACTGCAATAACCGTATGAACATACAGGTCTAAGGCATAATCTTTCTCCTTCTTCCCTTTAGGTTTATTTTTTTTAACCCATTTTGGAGGGAGACAAGTTGTCAATTTTTATTATTAGTTTACTAAACTCTAATTTGCAGACACATTTACCAGCTTTCTTTTTTTTTAAACTCAGTGAATGAAATCACATTCCATTTAAACCCTCCATATTTGGCCAAATACATACTGGAAGATAAGGATAAGAAGTATCACAACACTTTATATTGCTCTAAAGAATATTCAATGGTTTCATTCATTCATTTACTCACCTACCAAGCAAGTATTTATTGAAAGCCCACTATGTGCTAGGCCTTGTTCTGGTCACTGGAAATGAACTGGTAAATAAAACAAAGTCTCTGACCTCACAGAGCTTCACATCGCAATGAAAGAGACCGACCAACTAATAAGCATTACTCAACACAACAGCACGTAGCGAAAAATGATCAGCAAGGGCAGAGCGAGAAATGAGAGCATGACATGGTGGCCAGGAAAAGCCTAAGTTTAAGTGACCTGAATGAAATGAGGGACTGAGCCGTGCGGCTGTCTGGTGGAAGAACTTTCCCAGAAGGGAGGACAGCAAGTGTTCGGCTGAGAGTGGCGGGTACCAGCTGTTTTGAGGACGAGGAGAACAGTGTGGCTGAAGCACGGTGAGCACAGAGAAAAACAGCAGGAAATAAAGCACAGCCAAACCTGTGAAAGCCGGAACCTGGAAGAGGCGGAAACCTGTCAGAGAAAGAAAACTCAAATATTTTCCACTAATCGAGAGCGACAGAGAAGTGGTAAGACTGCACCCTGTCAAAGATGGAAAACTTTAAAGACCCAGAAATACAAGGTCATCCCATTGACTTCTGACTCTCACAGGTTTCACTGTAGAACAAAAAATCAGGACTAGACTAGGCTGTGTATGTTTCTGTCGATCACCGAAAAGATGGGTTTTGGTCAGAGTATAATGGGAAGTCTCTGAAGAGTTTTAAGTGGGAAAGTATATCATCTGATTCATGTTGTTAGGAGATCAATCTGGCTGCTGTGCGAAACCGCAGAAGGGCAAGAGCAGGAAGTGGGAGAACTGTGAGGAAAATCCGCAATTGTCCAGGCAGGCGACAATGGTAACTTGGACTAATACGACAGAGTTTGAAGGCAGGAGGAAATAAGGGTCAAGGATGATGCCAAGGTTTGTGGCTTAAGCAACTGGGTGGATGGTAGTGCCATTTAATGAACTGGGGCACTGTAGTACAGTTTTACAGGAAAAAAATCAAGAGTTCTGTTTGAGGTTTTTATGCGATATCCAACTGGGAACGTTTCACAAATCGTTGCATATGTGTGTCTGGAGTTCAGGAAATAGTTTCAGAATAGATATAAATCTGAGACTCATCAAAATATGACACCTTAAGCCACTTAGTTGGGTGATATCAACTAAGAGGGAATGGTAGATAGAAAAGAGGTGAAGGGACAAATGTGTGTTACTTTGATAGAATGAACATCTGCAAAACCAAGTAAATATATACTTGTGTGGCATGATCTGGATGCTTACTGACTTACACACACAAATTCTAGTCTCCAACAGAAGAGTGAAGAAAGGGAAGCCAAACAGAGCTGAAGCGTGATATTCTCTGACATACCAGATAAATAAATAATTGCTATCTCTAGGCTCTTCTTACCCTTCTCATGTAAGTAACAATGAATATATCTCATTTTAGAATTGTTAAAATGTTTGTCAACTGGAATTCCATGTCAATTTTAAACCTTGTCCCTAAACCTTATAAAACAGAAATTTACCATATTTACACGAGAAAATTCAATGAACTCTTTCTCAGGTGAAAGAGATCACCTTTGTATAATTTACAAGATTTTCTGAGAAGTGGTAGCTATGTAGACATGACATTTCTAGAAATGTCTTTATTTCTTACTTGGTATGTTTAACCAATAATCCTGTTTGTATCTAAATTTTAATGCCAACTCAGACTTGGTTGAAGCTATTTCCCCCAGGGAACTACTGCACATAAAAATCAACTTCATCAGAGAAAGGTATAAAAAGTAGGAAAACACTATACACTTTTATTTTGTGAATGTCCATGCCTGGAGATTTTACTGCAGGATTTTACATTCCTTCCTAAAGCACAGCGCTTTAGAACTGTATTTCCTTTACATATTGCCAAACTCTAATGAATATCTATTTCATATCTTAACTGCTCTGCATGTGTAAATGCTTGCTTTTGGATGCTTCCTAGGTGTGCCAAGGGAACAGCATATTGTAACAATGGTAATTATTCCATGAGTCACAGGTACCTGAAATATAAAGTGGCTAACTCAGGTTAATTTTACCATATGCAATATTGACAGGTTTGCTGCTTTCTTACGGAAATTATTTTCACAACAACAAATGTTACTTTAAAGTAGAAATATTTAGCAATTTCTGAATGGCAAGGGGGAAACCAACAACAGACAGCATTTCCTACCTGCTTTATGGCGGTTACCGTTATCACAAAGAATAATGGAAGTCCACTGGTAATCGGACTGGTAGGTGTATCAATCATAAGCTATATAAAAGACAGAACAGAGTATTATATTTCTATATTGTATGTCACACTATTCACATCTAAAATCTGATAAATACCGGGAATTTCAAGAACAGTACACAAACGTATATTGTGACCCACAGTAAAACATATTAGGAGACAGATATTATGCACAGGTAGAGTTTAGTTTACAACTTCACTTTGTTAGCTATTATACAGGGTTGGTGGAATATTGATTGCAAGCCTAATATATTGCTAGAGTGGACTCAGCCACTCTGCTTTCTTACAGACAGGGTACCTGAGGTCTTCCTCAGTATTTGCCTAGGACAGCAGCTACAGCTGCTCAGATCTCATTTCACATCTCTTTGCACATCCAGATAAATACTGAAAAGTCTGCAAGCAATTTTCACCCTGGGATTCAGAATAAACTCAACACTAGAGAGAATTAGGAATGGGATTAGGGAAAGTGTTTTTTCTGTAACTGGTTCTGTTACACCCAGAACAACCAGAGGGGTACAGCTAGGCAAAAGATGTTGCAATTATGAACTAAAATCATACAATTGAGGTTTCACTAAATTGCTGAGGAAGTAAAGAGATATTGGCAATAACTACGTTTAGTTATTAGATTCTTCTTCTAATGACTTATTAATGTTCCTTTACTCTATACAGGCCAATTAAACTCATTTTATTCCACAGACAGGCTGAATTCCTGATCTTCGCTAGTGATTTCACAAACGCACGCATGTTATGTGGATAAGGTTAGTATAAATTCCTCACTTCTTTGAGAAAACCAGGCTGATGTTCTACCGACAGAAAATCAGAAGTACCTTCCCTGTTCATAAAGAAAAGTGATTTTTTAAAAAAGTAAATGCTTCCTGGAGCTTTAAAATAATTACTTAAGTTTTTTCTTCTTTTAAAATCTCAGGTCCTTTTGAGAGAAAAGTTCAGAGCCTACATGACAGTTCAGTGCACACTGACAGAGGCTGTCCAGACCTGCTGCACTGTTCTCAGACAAGGGCAGCATCTTCAAAAGAAAACCACAACCCCAAACCTTAAAGCTTGACTTGCACTCGGCTCCACAGGCTGTTCTCTTGATATTTGGATATAAAAGTTACAAGAGAAATCCCCAATACTGTAAAAAGCCACGGAGTTTATTCTGTAGACAAAGCCACCCAAAAAAGCACAATTTGAAAATTAAGAAACTGTCAAAACAGTTTATAATGAACACAGATTTACACAGTAAGAAAATGGTCTCCTGAATAAACAGTCTAGATTCATGCGGATTAACTAATACAATTAAAAGCCAAAAGTAAATTACTTTGTAAAAAGAGGGTTCAACAGGCAGAAATGTGCCCAAACCAATATGTGCTATACATTAAAAGCCAAAACATATTCTGAGGCAGAACATCTGAAAGATACTAGATCACGTTCTTGGCTTAGATTACGGTTTTCAGCCCTATAGTGCATGAGTGATGAAACAAAACACGGTTCACCTTAAGATTCACAGGCTACGATCTTAGAAACCTGGAAGTGGCGTAGATCATTGTGTCAGGGAGACATGAATCCCAGTGAAGCTCTGCAGAAACAGTGGTGCACACTCTTCTCCCCTCGGGGAGAGCCACACTACACACGAGCAGAGTAAGCGCTCGAAGAAATGCCGGGTAAAGAAACCAGGCACTCCGACCACCGGCCGTTCTGGAACCCTCTTTTTATATATATAT